TGTGTGTGTGTGTGTGTGTGTGTGTGTGTGTGTGTGTGTGTGTGTGTTGTAGCTTGCAGACCAGCAGCACCAGCTCACCCTCGAGGCTGCAGGCCCAGTACCAGGGCACAGAGGTCCTTCATCCCTGTCACTGACCGTAAACAACTGCTCGTCCCAGCAGCCCCCCTCCCCCTGTGCTGCTATTTCTGGTCTTTTTCGACATCTTTCAAAGACTCAAAGAGTCATAAAGTAAATCCAAGTAAAGAAGTGAAAGTTTAGCCGTACAGCGCCTCAGTTTATAAACAGACGAGTGACCGAGTAACGGTGCTGCCGCTGTTAATGACAGGAGGAATTAATTGTCTAATAATGATGCATAGCTTTGTTAAAAAGCTCAACCTTTTGCAGCAGCTGTCCTTCATCCTCCAGTGAAGGATAATCATTTCTGCAGCTGTTGCTAACTTTTTTCTACATTTTAATGCTTTTATTAACCAAATCAGCCAAACAGAACAAATTTGTTTAGGCAGAGAAGTGACAGACATTATCATAAAGTATTTAACATAGCCAGTGTAACAACCAGAATCTAAATACATTTAATTTAGCAACAATTACTTTTGAAATTGTAAAGATTTTAAATAAAGCATCACGACTTTCACAAGAGTTCAATAATTCCTTTAAACTGTGGATTACTCTCCATGGTTTAAATGACATGAAAAACCACTTTTGTCCTTTTTGTCCTAAAGTGAGCTCTGTCCTCCAGGAAGTCAATCAGTTTCTTCTCCCTGCTGATTGGAGGTAATTAGGCGAGCAGAGTTTGTAATTGGATAATAAAAGATGCTAATGAGTTGCTGTCCTATTTACTCAAACTGTGGCACAGGATAGTAGAACTCAGCTCAGTCGCACTTATGTGACTCCAACATGAAAGTGACGTTAAAAGCACACTTTCTGGTAATTAAACGATCAATGGTTTTTATTGATGGTTATTCTTTTTTGTCTTATTGAAGCTTGATTTGTTTATTTGTGCTTCAGAGTAAAACAAATTAAGAAGTTATTCACGGTCGCAACCTTCATTAGGAGAAAAGTCCCTTTCTGAATCTCATTTCACCGGGGACACGGCCCTCCTTGCTACCTTGGGCCTTCCATTGTGCGGTCCTTGATACTGACAAGGCTGACATCAGAGGAGAGCTCTGACACCGGGTGAGTTAGGACTGCCAGCTGTTAGCAATCAAGTCTATTTTGAAGTCAGGGACACACAGACCCCCAGGGCCAAAGCAGCAACCAATCCAGCCCCTCACCCTCTCCTAAACTCAGCCTACAACCTCCAAGCCCCTTGGTCCCACAGATAGCAGGCACATCTGTATTGGTTCCAGATGTTGGGAGCCTTCAGAGAGAGGGTTCTTTTACCTGAAAGAACCCTGAAACGGTGACAGACATGCACGAGTTTGCAGCAATAATGAAAAGCACTATGTTTTAGCACTAAACCGGACATCAACAAACAGCTAAAAGCCCAGTGAGTATACAAAAAAAAATATGTTGAGTCATGTTGGTTTTAAAGTTGCAAGCAGATGCTGGAGCTCTAATTTGAGGGTTTCATAAATAGAAGGTAAATTTGAAATTGAAGGCACAGTGTTCCTTGCAGAAATTCATATAGCAGCCACCTTCATATCTGCGTTTTCATGCAACACTGAGCTCAGAGTGAGTGCTGTGAATAACTTTCAGCTACCATCAAGCCAAGTTTTAGCTTAACAGCTGAAAATTGAGCGAGTTATAGCAATGCTTGTGTTTTCTACGATCAGACGGCTGTAGCTTTCATCTTGACTGACTCCAACACTTAAATAGCTGTAAACGCAGATCCAGTAATTAATTTCTGCAAAATTTATTAAAGTTCATCTAGAGGTCCATGAGATATTTTGTTAACACAGCAGCTAAACACACGAACTTTTAGCCTTCAGTTTATATTCTAGAGGTTTAATGGTAAACAATTTGCAGCTTTATTACACATAAATAAATAGATCTAAGATTTGTCTAAATGAAGAAAATTAAATGCACAATAGAAACAAATTTGTAGGGGTATGAGAGCAAATAAATCTTTTTGCAGCTGCATTGTTTCTGCGCCTGTCCTTCAAAACCCTCAGGAAATTAGATCTGACAGGTGGAATGTCCTTGCTGCATGCTTTGGTCTGCCCCCTCCTCTCGTGACTAAAATGTGATCACAAAATAAATAAATAGTAAACAGATACACTGGAGAATAAACAGATGGATGTCTAAAAGCAATTAAACACTCTTTGGGAGTGGGAGACAGATGTTCACTGAGCCTAATCAAAGAGAGAAAGTCTTTTTTCTGAGTCAAATTTACTTCATACTGAGGAGTCTGTAGATTATCATGTGCTGTGATGGCTCCTAATTTTAAACAGACTCTTAAACATGTTGAAGTTACTGCTTTGTCCTTTGTTTTGTGTCCAATTTAGAAAATGATGGAAAAATACACACAAAATCACCAATAATAAACAAATACATTAAACTAAAAGTATTTGTGGTTCTTCTTCTTGTAAAAGAAATATATATATATTTACATATTCAGTTTTCTCCACTAATTTACAGTAATTTATTTTTTAAAGACTTAAGGTATTAATAGGTCAAGAGTAGAGTGTAAAACAACCAACATCAATAATAAAATAAAAATACATAATAAGATGTATTACAAGTTTCAAAGCAAATATAGATTCAGTCACGAACAGCTAATTCCATTATCAAACCACAAACAAAACTAAGACTGATTATTAACACATTACTGCCCCCTGGTGGCTGAACTGAGTACAACACACTGAAGTCACAGCACCACTAAAGGTTTGTGTAAATGTTGGGGTCTGGACCCTGTGGGTCGTGGAAGGTCAAGTGAGAGATTTTAAGATGGTTTACAGAATTTAAATAAAAATTAAAGATGATTGCTACCGGGACATTTTTGCCCTAATTATTACGAAATATAAAAAAACAGGATTCATAAAAAGGTGAAATGCTTTAACTGATGAACAGTAGAAATGTTGTTTTAAAGAGAACAGAAATTATATTTGTGTGTTTTGAGAGGAAAACTCCTCTGTTGCAAAATATAAATTCAGATAAAATAAAGAATTATACATTTTTCTGCTAAAACTCAGTGTTAACGCTGAGCTGAATGAGTTTACTGAATGTTGTAGAAAAAGCTGAAAACAAGTTGGTGAAGCTAAAAGAAGCGAATGGTTGGCTAAAAGCTAAAGGAGCTACAAGATAGTTTAAACTAAAAGCTAAATGGCACAGTTAGTAGAGCTGTCACCTCTCAGTGAGAAGGTTGTCGGTTTGCATGTTCTCTCCGTGCATGCGTGGGTTTTCTCCGGGTACTCCGGTTTCCACCCACAAACCAAAAACATGCATGTTAGACTGATTGGTAACTCTAAATTGTACCTAGGTGTGAGTGAGAGAGTGAATGGTTGTTTATCTCATTTGTCTTTATGTGTACCTGTGAAGGACTGGAGACCTGTCCAGGGTGTCCCGTCTCTCATAGTGACTTATGGATATGGGCACCAGTGACTCCCGTGACCCAAAAAGGAAGAAGCGGTTAAAGATGATGGATGGGTGGATTAAAGTATAAAAATACCTAACACAGCAAATGGTTAGCTATAAAATAAAGTAGCAAATGACTAGCCAGAAGCTGGGCTAAAAGCAAAAGTACCCCAAAACTAAAAAAATCTAAAGTATAGAAATATTTGTCAAAAATTAAAAAGGTAAAAAAGCTATAGCCACAAACTAAAAGAAACAAAAAGCTATAGCTAAAAGTAGCACAAGAAGATGAAAAAGAGGAAAATATCTAAGGGGAAAATATTTGTAAACAAAGTTGAATAACCTACAAAGCCCTCAACAACCTAGATCCATCATATTAGAGGTCTTATTGTTCCATATTTTCCTAACAGAGCACTTCGCTCTCAGACTTACTCGTGGTTCCTAGAGTTTCCAAAAGCAAAATGGGAGGAGGATCTTTCAGTTATCAGACTCCTCTTTTGTGGAACCAACTTCCAGTTTCTGTCCGTGAGGCTGACACATTGTCCAGTTTTAAGACTGGCTGAAGACTTTCCTTTTGATAAATCCTATAGTTAGGGTTGGCTTATTATGCTGCTCTAGGCTTAGACTACTAGAGGACAAAGTGACCTCATTTCCTTAAATGAATTGTTAAAATTGAATAGTTTTAATTTGATATCATTTCACATGTGATTCTTGACCTGCCATTGTGTATCTGTTCCTGTCAAACCCAACCAGTCAAAGCAGAAGGCCTCTTGTCCTGAGCCTGGTCCTGATAAAGGTTTCTCCCTCATGAGGGAGCTTTTCCTTTCCACTGTTGCCTTCATGCTTGCTCAAGAAGAGTTTAAGTTAAATTCGGTCTGCTCCTCAGATAAATAATTTCTGTTCAGTGCCCTGAGATGACTTCTGTCGCTATATAAATAAACTGAATTAAACATTTAAAAAAAGACTATTCGCAGCTGTCATGACTTTATGAATGGAAACGTGACGACTGTTCAGCAGACATGGCATCATGGCTTTACTGGAAGTTACCGTCTAGTTCCGCCTACGACCCGTTCTGTGGAAGTCTGCCTCAAACACGCAGCTTGTGAGAGTACGGGACGAGACTTGTTGTTGCTGAAAAAACGAAGGAACCGCCTCTGTGTGAGTCATGGTGTTTCTCCTCAGCAGACGTGATGTTTGGAGAGCACGGCTCGTGTGTGGACTCGAACGTGCATGCAGGAAATAAAGCGCGCGCCTGCGTTTAATGGTTCATTGTGCGTAACAGGGAAGTGAGTTCGCCTCACCTACTTTCTGTTTGAAACTTATCTGCGGCCCGTCAGAACCGCTCCAAGTTTTTAATTTCTAAACCTTTTCCCTCTGCCTCAAAAAACGATTTTTTTTTTAACTTTGCTGTGAGAAGGAGCGACTCGAAGCAGGAACCGTTCAGGAGGATGTTCGGACTGTTCGAGAGCTCATGAACCACGGGAGAAGGAAGCGGACCTGAAGTGTTTTTCTCTGGCATGAAACCGTCATTTCTCTGAAGGTGAGACCAAGTGTGTTTTTGTTTACAGCGCGCGTATTGTTTTGCCTCACACCGTGCGGCCTGCACACGCACAGGCCTCGTCACTTTTTGCGGGTCAAGCGCAAAAAAAAACAAAAAAAACGGGAGACGCAGTTTGCGTCTCTGTCATGTTTTGGGTGAAATGAAGAGGGGAAACAAAACAACAGCAGGGTGTTGCGAAACTAACATCAGCCTTTAACACTTCTTAATCATCTGCTTTATTTATTAATTAAACTGTGACCTCTTAAAATAACCCATTTAGACTTTCTTATAAGACTTACTCTTATAAAGAAATTGCGCAAGACATTCGACCTCCATGCCCTGTTTGGGTGGAATATACATA